TGGCACGATGGGGCCACCGCGGTGAAGGTGAAATGCCGCGACTCCAACTGCTTTTACCTCGGAGCTGTATATATAGAGTAGAAGCAGAAGGCGCAGACTCCAGGTGCTTAAAATCGTGCCAGCCGAACGCACAGAAGAACGTTTCCAATGGCATGTAGACCTACATGCCTATTGTTCTGTGGAGGCGTTTGCCACTTAGAACCTGGTTGCCTGATTTACCAAGCTGTGTTGTACCACTTAAGCAGGCTCCGATTGTCCGAATACCAGACTATGGTTGACCATTAACCGACATCTGGTCGCTTATAGACCACACAGTGGTTAAGATCTAATCACACCCTGGTTGCCGCTTGACCAGAGTCTGGTTACTTCCCAACCATCTTCTGGTTGAGGGCTTAACCAGACCCTAGACCACACTCTGGTTACTACTAAACAGACCCTGGCCAAATCCGGACCAGACCCTGGTCAGCCCGCTGACAAGACCCTGGTAAACGGGACACTAACCAGACCCTGGTCAGCGGCCTGGTTAGCGCTCTAACTAGGGTGCCAACCAGACTTAGATAGCAGCGAAAACTTCCTTTGTGCAGAGTGAGTACATAAGGCTACGCGAAGTCGATGTGGGGATTCCGGTCTGCGACCGACCGGGTAATTGGAGATTTTGGAAAAATTGACATAAAATAAGTTGAGATTTGCTCGGATACACAGCACTTATGTACTCCCATCTAATTCATATTGCTTCAGTTTTCCAAGATATGCTGAGGGAACCTTGACCTTTTTCGCGGGAATGATCCCCGGTTGTCCAAAAACTGATGTGCGGCCAAAAACACCCCTCCAATACCAGATTTGCCTTTTTGGAACGCTTATTGTACAAATTGGGTAATTTGGGGCAAATTCCTCATGTATTGTTTTCCGCCGACCGACCGACCCACCCCTGGAGGGGGTGGACCGGAATCCCCATATTAACTTCGCATAGCCTCAGTTGGTCACGAATCACAACACAATGTTTGATTTCAAAAAATACGTCAGCAAGATTTTGACGTCACCTCGTTGATTAGGCGTTGACCTTGAAAACCGCAGAAGACTGCTGCAATTAAACCACTAGAGTCCAGACCGACTTTACAATCGGGAAAACTCAATATGGTGACGTGGCATTCTCGGCAAACGGCCACCAAATGGCGCACGGTTTTGAGTCCAGTAAAATTGAGTTGATGTTAGAACAAAAGTAAAGCAAATCTTCATTGTTTCCGGCGGTTATTCGTTCTATGGCTCAGGAATGGTGGCGCCTACAACCTCGCATCGAAACTGCCGAAAGAAACCATCTAAAACCATGCATTTCCCGCAGCGCAGCGATAATTCGTGCATTCATCGATTTTGATGCGCCCCTGTCCGAAGTTTCAAGTTTCGGAGTTCCGAGTTTCGGAACTGACGGAATGTGGGACCCACAGGTATCTATCGTCGCTCTGGTGGTTTTAAAAGTACGGCTGGTATCGTGACTCGTTAGACTCGGTGTCCTTTAGTTTCTCACAGAACCTGGCGCGAAGGTCCGCTCAGCTGAGTGACGTGTATTAAAGTCTACAACGGTTCTTAGCCTTCTGCTTGAAGAGCTTCTTGCTCTCGGCGCCGACGCCTCACACAATCTACCTAATGCTCTGTTTCGGGCCTGTTTCTAGTCACCTCATGCCTTGCCCCAGTCTGTCCATGCTCTCTCTAGGCCTATTCTGGATCCGGAGGTTGCCAGAGTTGCACGACGTTGCGCGACTCGACGTTGCGCGACTTTCGATTAACGACTCTTCGCGACTTTGTGCGACTGCTCCGCGACTTGGTTCCGCAACGTTCGCGACCTTCACTGCAACCTTATCATCCCTCGGAAAACATGTTTTCAACTATGTTTTGTGTTTAGATGCTTGCAATGCTCCGCGACGTTACGCGACCTTCCGCGACTCTCTGCGACTTTTGTTTGCGACTTTCACCGCGACTCTGTGACCTCCGGGTCCAGGATAGGCCTCTCTCTCACGCCCCATCTGCTCCTCAAAT